ACTGAATAATAACTAGTGATTTTTATTTTACTGACTGGTAATACACCTTCAAAAGCAGTCAGAAAACATGGGAACCAAAATGGGTAATGAGTGTAATGGCTTCAGTTTTTTGATAGTTCAGTAATTCAACTTTTTGAGATTAACTGTTTTCACTTAAAGTGGAGAAAACAAATCCTGCTTCATCTTTAAGAGTCTGAGACACACACTGGGCAAAAACTTCCCAGCGCAGAATATAGTGCAGCACTGGAACATTTTGTCTGGAGAGGTTGTTGGATCTCTGTGCTTACAGATTTCCAAAACTCTACAGGAAGCCATTACTGACCTGGTCTCGTGTCAACAATAGTTCCACTTGGAGTGCAAGTTAGGACTAAACCTCCAGAGATCCTTTCACGATTTCTCATTGTGTTAAGTTTTGTGTTTTCTCCTCTTGAACAGGAAGCTGCTTTCCAGTGATCGTAATCCACCAATTGACGATCTAATAAAATCAGGAATATTACCTATTTTAGTTCATTGTCTTGAAAGAGATGACAAGTGAGTATTTCTAAAACTTAAAATGCTTTCATTACTGTGAGAATTCTTGGTATTTAGCAGTGTGCCTCTGGCATCTGGTTTGAAAACTCATGTTAAAATTTTTATTCTTCCCCCCCCCCCCCCTTGCTTTGCAGTCCTTCTTTACAGTTTGAAGCTGCCTGGGCTTTGACAAACATTGCCTCTGGAACCTCTGAACAAACACAGGCTGTAGTTCAATCTAGTAAGTCCAACAGTATTTGATCATTGATAAAGCATGCACTGTAGTTTCCACAGAAATAAGAAAAATCATCTGAATGATACTGTAAAGCACATCCACATGCCTGTTCCTCTCTATCTCAAGCATGTTCACCAATCCACATGTTATGCTTGGTCTTTTCATGCCATAGCCAGGATGGTTGAAACTGAGTTGTCAATCACAGGCAAGTCGCTGAAGGACCTGCCCATGAAGTCTCCTGCCAGATGTTCTACCTCTTCTCTGGCAATCAGCATCAGTTGAAGCACACACCTGCTTTTGTTCTTCATTTTCTCAGATTTTAAATTCAGTTGGGTTTCCTAATGGTGAGTAATGTATTCTGGAAACTCACACTATTTTTGCAGTTGATATCTGCTGGTTTCCAGTCTTCAAACTTAAGACAAACAGAACAAAGTGTGAAACAAAACCAAACCAAAAAACTCGCCTATGGAGGGATTTCCTGTCTTACTCTGAAGAGGGAGTAAAAGATGTGGACCAAGGCCAAGAGGGTGCCTTATCCCTCTGGCCTTATCCAGTATCAAGTTGAAGAAAACACGCTGTCCTTCATAGATTGAGGAATATGAAGCATGGAAAGGAATGGTTGTTGGACTTGAAATCCAACTTGCCAAGCAAAGCAAATTTTCTTCTGTATCTAAACATGACCTAAGTCTAAATAATACTTCTGTTGGTAAAGCTGAACTAAGTAGAAGTGTTTGCAGGCTTTCTGAATTGAATGAAAAAAACAGCAGAGCTTCCTGAGACCCATGGAAGTGTCAAGAATACAGTAAACCAAGTTTTTGCCTAAAATTTAAGGGGGGGGGGAATCCACAACGTGTGCATTATGTGAGATACCAGTAGCTTTAAAGTTTTAATGGTTAGAATTACTGTTATATTGCAGTGCATGCTGCCAATACTATTAAACATACTGTGATTTCAACAATGAAAAGACACAGAATTATGCTTGGTCTTCTGTGTGTGGTTCCCCCCCTCACCCCTGACATTTGTATATTGACTTCTTTTTAGAACTGCTTGAAACTTTTATTCCATGTAGTAAGTACAATTTCTAAGAGGTGTGCTGGTGTTTGCATTGTGTCAGTACTTGTTACATATATTCCAAGACTTTGTTTCCCACCCCCCCTCCTTCAGTGATTAAAAATAATGTTTTTGTTGTTATTGCTAAGTAGTTATAAGCTTCTCACAAACTTTATATTTAGAAAAGATAGGTCTTCATAAGAAAGTTTTTAGCACCATTTTCTCTGTTAAATGACCAGGTGTGTTTCAAAATCTTTAACTGCAAAAAAATGATGAATTCTCTACAATGGATGTGAAGGAATTTAAGCCAGGTGACTTGAGTTTAAAGTTTTGTTGTTGTTTTTTTAATGGAATGTATGTTTTATTGCTGCATTGGTTGCAAGATCAGTTTTCCTTTGGTTTTGCAACCTCTCAGTGTTAAGAACCTGTTAACTTGGATATACTTTGGTTTTAGTATGTATCTTTGCTAATAATTCTAATGTTCCCTTTTCCCATCCTCCTCTTCCTTTCCCTGTTGCATCCCAAGTTTTCTTTTGGAAATCTAATTTTGGAAATCTGTTCCACACCTCTGATCTAGAATACTTTTTGTTTAAGCCTAGCTTTTATAAATGGATTGAAGATGAGTGCCAAATGTAGTAATGGTTTATTTTGGTGATGATCTCTGACTTAGCTAGGTCTGCATTTATGCACTGTATTAGCTAATTTAATAGCTATAACATACGAAAGTATGGTTTATTTCTTTTGATGATATATTTCAGTAGAAGAGAGAGACTCTTCCTCAATGTAAATCATTTTTGCGAGAGAAATAACAAGAGATTACAGCAGACTAACTAAAAATACCAGCCTCTTGAAATATGTGATACAAAGTGAAGGAACGCTTCTTGCAGCCTAAGCTGCAGAATTGTGCTTTATTTTGGACCCCTTTTGTACTGCTCAGTCAGTTGTCCTTTTGGTTGGTGGTTTGTGGGTTTTTTTTTCCACATAGTATTTGAAACTACTACTAATTTGAAATATATAAGTATTTGAAATCTCTTAGTAGATTTCAGATTGAGTCAGAACTCAGTGATGTAAAAGTAGGCTTCACATTGAGGAGTGCATCTGCATTGGCATTCAGGAGGCCAAGATGACTAGATTTGTGGGAACAGCTGCTGTTGCTGTACCCATACCTTCATAATGGTTATCAGAAGATAGTGAATGCAGAATTGGAAATACTAGGGAAAAGTACACACTAACGTGGCACTTAGTGCATCCTCATGGGCAGTAGTACTGCTTCTCGGGCAGTTTACCATGTGTCTGCTTGTGTGTGCTCCATCAACCAAGCTTCCTTTTGGTAGAACTGGAGGTGATGTTGATCGGTGAAGCATTGCCTGGAGGTCTGTGCTGACAATGTGCACAGCAGATCCCTCAGTGGTTTAGTTTCTGCATGTGCTCATATAGCAACTGGCACATACTTCACTCCTAGTAAAAATGTGATGTGGGGATATCAGGTACTGTAAACTGGAGATACTGAAACAAATTTAAACCCCTGTCCTGTCCTCTTACCAGTCATTAACATAGATGTAGACCTACTGACTCAAGTCACCTTGAATGGGTGAGGTTGGTCTTAAGTGGTTACTACTTTGCAGTTGGTTCTGATCGATAACGAAGCATGGAATTTCTGAATTCAGTATTTAATAAATATAAATTTTGAGTCCTGACAAGCTTCAGTAAACTTGAGACTTGTAAACAAATGTCAGGTTATTTTAAGAGATGCTTTCGTAATATTCTGAAGTGTGGACTCTGTAAGAGAGCAGTAAATCAGGAACTGTTATGTTGTGTTTTATTTCAGTATCATCTGAGGAGTCTTGGGTACTTAATAGGAAGGAAAATATCTCATTTCTTTGAAGAGCTTATTATGTGAACTCTTGTCTTTTAAGATAGGTGTATTAACAATTGCACGGGGGGGGTTTTGTGTCTTTCAGATGCTGTGCCACTTTTTCTGAGACTGCTCCATTCACCACATCAAAATGTTTGTGAACAAGCTGTGTGGGCTTTAGGAAATATCATAGGTTTGTGTGACTCCTCCCACTAAAAAAAGTTCCTTTTGGTGAACTAAGGTTAAACTAGGTAGGATTTTGTGTGTTAGAGCTTAGATGCTGAACAATGAGAAAAAAGGCAGCTGTTAGAGTGGCGATTACCCTGCTTATTGCTGTTTTCTCTGTTGTGTATCAAGTTCTGAAATTTCGCCTGAGTGTACAAACATTGTGTTTAAATTCTAAATAAGTTGTGATCATTTGATTTTTCACTTGATTTTTTCATCCTCTCCTGCAAGTACTAGCTTTGTGGTTTACAGCCCTGACTGTGCTTGCAGTGCTGGAGGACTAATACTGGTTCTGAAATGCTGAGACTTCTACAGTCTGGTATTTTTAGAAATACCTAGTCCTTAAGAAGCAAACCAGCAAAATCCACAGTAGTGTAACTGCCTGAAGCTGTTAGTGGTAACACATTCAGTACAAGTCAGATGCTGCTTTCAGGGCAACTGTAGTGATACCTGGATGGTGACAAAAGCATATTCAGATATGAGGAAGCCACTATCCATTTTCAGGCAATTTTCAGCTAGCTCTTAGCATATTTTAATGTTGGAAGAACACAGGGTTTATAATTGGGACTGCCACCCCTTTTCCCTTGCCTACCACCGTCTCAGCCTGTTATAAATTAATTTACCTCATTTAGAGTAGTTCAGAATGAAGCAATTGGACAGGCAGACACAGATCCTACTAAAGCTTTATGCGAGTGTCTTTATCGTAGAGGTATCTATATAGACATGTGTGTGTCTGCATTTATATCTTTCCAGGGCCCATATTCTTTAACTTCGTATGTGTGTTATGTAACTAAAGTATGCAGAAATCAAACTTTTTGAGAATGCCATGGGATGATCTTTGTATATTCATAGTTCTTTGATGTCTCAAACAGGTGATGGACCCCAGTGTAGAGATTACGTTATTAGTCTTGGAGTAGTGAAACCACTGCTGTCCTTCATCAGCCCATCTATTCCTATAACTTTCTTAAGAAATGTTACCTGGGTCATGGTCAACTTATGCCGCCACAAAGATCCTCCTCCGCCGATGGAAACTATTCAGGAGGTGACTGAATTACTCACTGTTCAGTGAAACTAAACTGAAGTTGAGTAATTGTCTGCCTTAAAAATAACTCTCAGATGCTTCTTTCCCTCCTTAGATCCTTCCAGCGCTCTGTGTTTTAATTCACCACACAGATGTAAATGTAAGTAATGCCACTTAGAGCCAGTTTTGTGCTCTCATGTAATTTTTTTAACTGAAGTATAAAGCTTGCCATAATGAACTTTTTTCCTAAAAAAAAAAAAAAAAAACGGGAATAATCAGGGATGATCTCTGACATTCTAGCAAACTTATTTTGGTATCTTTTAACTGCTTATTTTTAAATATCATGGTTTTTGCCTGGTATTTCTCTGTGTCTTTGCAAGTGCTTATTTGCATGTACTTTCCCTGCACTTAAGAATAAAATGCAGTTTCAGTTGCATTCCTGTGAACAGTTCGTTTACAGATAAATACAGGATTTTTTTTTTTTGCCTAGCACTTAAGTTTGCTGTAATCAAAATCAGTGTAAATGAAAGAAAAATTAGTGTCTGCTGCATATATAAAACATTACCTTTAGATGTAACTTTACAGTTGTTAAATATGAATATTGTTTATTTTAATAGTGAAGTAAATGAGTCAAACTCTACTGAAATTATGAAATAGGTCAGTATTCTGCCTAAACATAAGCCAGAATTGTTGAAGATTGCTTGCTTCCTAGTGAAGTTGTAGCTCAGTTTTCAAAGTTAATGGCAGCAGTGCATTACCAAAGTAAGTTTAAATACATTAACTAAAGTTTGATTAGTAATTATACTATTTATTTTCTTGTATACAAGTAGGTGAGGTTAATCTTACTTGAATTTCTTGAAATGGCTGTATTTGTGAATCAGTCGAGTTGTCAGCTGAAATAATGCTCAGTTTTTGTGTAAGCTGTCACTTGAAATGTTCAGATTTACTGCTAGGGAAATTGGCTTTTCTGTGTGTGAATACACGTGTGCGCACAGAGGGAATTCATTGTAATTTCTGCTGCACCACATTAAAAAATATTCAAAGCCTTAAGTTTTGCGGTGGAAGAAGAAATTAACTCGATGCTGTAAGATGTACAGCTTGTTTGGCACTCTCATTTGGTTTGAGAGTGCTGTATGCCTGTAGTTTAATATTTGCTAGGGCTTTATCTTCCTTCCAGGGGTGTCTTTAATATCTCATGGTGTCTACCAGTATTTCATAAAGAGAGCAGATATAATTGAATTGCTTTCATTATATCCTCAGAATTTAAGCTGCAGTTAGCAGTTTAGCTGTTGCTTAGCTGTTGTTTTTTTTACCACTGTGTATTCTTTGGGGCTGGAATAGGTTGAACAGCAGTTGCATTTTGGATTTCTGTAGAGTGGAAAGTATGAAGCTTATAAAACAAGGTGGGGTTTTGCTGCACAGCATCAATTCTGGCTTCACAGTGAGAGTTGTTTTACTTTTTCACACACATTATTTTCTTATTAGATTTCCAGCACTACTTACAAATAATTTTTTACTGTTAGATATTGGTAGATACAGTCTGGGCGCTCTCATATCTAACGGACGCTGGCAATGAACAGATCCAAATGGTGATTGACTCCGGAATAGTCCTTCATTTGGTTCCTCTTCTCAGTCATCAAGAAGTCAAAGTGCAGGTAAGTTTGTATAACTTTAAGGAAGTGTTGCTCAAAATCTAATACTAGAGAAAGTAGCTGGTTTCTTTTTATAGTTCATGTTGAAGTTTAAGAAGTACTTTTTCCTGTGTGAAAAAACATTTGCATAAAACTTTTTTTTTAAGTGTTACTGTTTAAAAGTATGTGCTCAACTAGAAGAATCTTTGATTAAAAGAACTTTCTTTAAAGAAAGAATTATGTTTCAGACTGCTGCGCTGAGAGCTGTAGGAAACATTGTCACTGGTACTGATGAACAGACACAGGTAGTTCTGAATTGTGAAGCTCTTTCACATTTTCCAGCACTTCTGACACATCCCAAAGAAAAAATTAATAAGGTAAGTAACTGTAGAAATTTCACCCTGCAGCTAACTGTATTTGGCCTGGCTGTCTTGGATTCCACATACTGTAATGTGATAGAGATTTGAGTAATTGTCTACTTATACCAGGGAGGGTGCTGAAATTTTTCTTAAAGCTAACACACATAGAAAAATCTCTAAGGAGCTGCAGACTTGTGTTTGACAAGTATGTTGTTTCCTGATTTCTTCTAACTGAATTTTTATGAAATCCAAGCTTTGTCTTACAGTTTCAGCTGTTGACAAAAGTTCTTGATACGTGAAATGTCACTAATTGAGCTGACTCTCAGAAGTGATGAAATAGAGATAATTGGATGTCTGTTTGAATGGAGAGTGTTTGTGATAAATGGAATTTAATCCAAGTGAGGGTGGGGTGTGGGGAGTATGTGTGTGCATGCATGTATAGAAAAGGCTTTAAATGGGGGCACTGATATTCCTGTGCTGATTCCGGAGTGCATCTGAGGCATGTTGTTAAGTTTCAGGGTGCCAATTCACAACATTGCCAATGATTAAAGCCCAAAACAAACCCACCAGGACAAGCCTAGGCATCCTAAGTCTCTAACAGGTTCATTAATGAAAGTGATCCTGTGATCTGATCTGAGAGATGCAGTTGAACAAAATGTGAGAATTTCTGAATCTCTTGCCGAAAGAAATACTTGTCTAAAGAGTTGTCATGCCATGCAAGTTGAGAGAAGAAAAGAATTGAGTAGGATTGATGGAGGGTTTCTGGGAAGGGAAAAATTTATCAACTGTAAAATTGAAGTCGATACTTTGAATATACTTAAAATTGTACCTGAAACTGTGTTTGTTATTTCTTGACTAAAGTATAAGTTCCCCGTTACAGTGAGAGTGGGGGACTCTCATTCTTGTTTGATGTAAGAATCCAGGTACAGTCTTTGGCTTAGTTCAAAATTTCAACTGTTGAGGATTGGGAGGACCCACTGGGGCAAAGGTATCTTCTTTACACACTTTCATAGCATCTGCTGTTGTTTACTTCTGGAAGGGGAGAGTCCTGGGCTTACGGACAGAGAAGAGGGGTCATAAAGGATCATAGAACTCTACAGTATTTTTGAAAAGCAAGCATTTAAGTAATAAGTGTTGTGTTTTGACTTGATGCTATGAAGATAAACATTATACAGCAGGTAAAGAACACATTGTCTTCTACTGCTCTCATGTCTGGAAAATGTGATGCTCTGATGCATTTTGAAACTTATCTGTCAGCTGAAAACTGCTAGAACATTCGTTCTCAGTCATGGAATCAGTTATGCTCACTTGTAGCCATGTGACTTTTTTGTCTCTGGATAATTTTTCCTTTAATCTGTGGATTTGGAGTACTTGGTTGTAACTTAGTGACAATGAAAGACTGAAGGGCCTTGGGGAGTCTCCTAAGGTGAGACTGTCAGCTTTGTTGCCTGTATGCCTAGTCTGTTTACTAGTTCAGCTATGTACAATCAAACCAAGTACAGAACTTGTTTGTGTTTTAAGATTGGCTAGTGCATGAATTGCAGAACTGAAAATCTGCATATATAAAGTCATGCCAGAGTGGAAATAAAAGGAGGTATAGAAGACTATCTGAACTAATAATCTCTCATGTTTTTATTTTTCAGGAAGCAGTGTGGTTCCTGTCTAACATCACTGCAGGAAATCAGCAGCAAGTTCAGGCAGTGATAGATGCAAACCTTGTTCCAATGATAATACATCTTCTAGATAAGGTTAGATAACATGAAGGTTTTAACAGTTAGTTTCCTTAATTGGGGAAAGTGGCATTGAATTCTTTCATGTCTTACATTGTGCTGTAAATGTGATGGGTAGGGGTGGACTATATACTTCATCAATTTTCATATCTTGCAAGATAAAATACATTACTGCTGATACTCTTCTGTGAAGTGCTGTGTGAGATTATGAGTGCCAGATGTATTGGGAATGAGAGCAGATCAGGGGATCTTGGGTCCTTCTAAGTCTCATTTAAATTAGTTTTCTTGTTCTGTAAACAATGGGGATAAAATCTCTACTCCTGTATGTGACATGAAGAGGTCTGGATAACAGCATTCACTTAGTTCCCAGCACTTTGCCAAAGCTTTAAGACTTCTTGCTTTTTTTTTTTCCTCACAGTATCTGTAAACATAAGAAAGTGCTCAACAGCAGTATTTAGTAACTTAGTGTTAACTGCGTTTATCTAGTCTGAGTAGTCCAAATCAAGATCTGTGACACAAGATTATGGACTGGGCTTATTCCATCCATTTTTTTTTTCTAACAAGTAAAACTGTGTCACCAAAAAATAGGTGGCCATAGAAATTAATTGTAGCTTTTGTGTGCTCAGTTTTTCCCACACAAAAGCCACGCTCTGTATAAGTATATGGATCTATGCAGCTTTTGTGTAATAGACAAAGCTTGTTGAGATGACTGCTTCTATTTCATTTTCTATTAAAGTCAAGTAGTCACTTGCAAGTGCTTCTGAATCCTTTTCTTATGCTTTTCCAAGCCTCTCATTGCTTGTTGAATATAAGAGATTGAATGCTAAGGGGTCACATTATTTGGGACTTCAGATACCTGTATTCCTATTCAGCTGTTGGGTGTTAGTGTCTCTTAAAACAGTAGTTTCCAAGCCACTTTGATCCCAGTAAACTGCCTTGTGAGAAATGAGGGTAGCTAAAGGCATGTTTTCAAATGGGGACAGTGCAACATTTTTATCCTTTAAACACTTCCTACTTTTTGCTTTATTCCTTATTTCTAATTTTCTTTCTTGGGGTGAGGAGGAAAAACAGAAATACAAAACTATACGGTATGTTCAGCCATGGCATAGACGAAATATCTTGCTTCAGTGTAGAGGCTGGGGTTGAGACTGAAGGAATACTTTTCTCCTAAGTAACATACAGCTGTTCACAGATAGTTCTATTAACTGCTAATCATTGATCACTGAGAAAAACAGTTGGAGGCCTTTCTCTTGAAATTTAGTAAGCAGACTGGAGTAACTTCAGAGGCTGATACTGTTACAGTATGTCCAGTGCTTTATCAAAATTGACACTTGCTGCTTATCTCTCACTGTAATATGTGACAGCTGTTGATAAGGAATGTGAGAGAGTGGAATACTACAGGGTTGTTGGTGTTTTTTTTTTTTATTTTGATGCAAACATATTTTCGTTCCTCTGCAAGATTAAATTAAAAACATGGTTGCAGGGAAGGGATGAACACTGAGTAGACTCAAGTCTCTA